AGCAGAATATTTGTGCTGGGATGGGCTGCTTTCTGCAGCTACAGGATAAGATTTCTGGGCGTTGACAGGCTCACTAAGCAAGAAAGGAATAAAAGCCAAATAAAGCTCACATACTGTTCACATCCTTTGCTCTGCAATTAGGACTGGTATCTTTCAGAAATTTGCAACCTCAGAATTGAAGACACTGTACCTACAATTTGCACAGTCACAAGATCCCAAACAGAAATATCAGCGAGGCCAAACCAAAGCCATGTTGTTGCTAAGGTCCAGCAGTGACCAACAGCACTTGGTGTGGGTGGAGCATGCTGGGGACAGGATGTTTCAGGTTTATTTCACAGTTAGACTATGGAAACGTGAAACTACCCCGGGCTGAGTACTCCCCCATCTATTTACTTGTAAGGCAAGAAATTAAATGTTTCACCATAAAATCTGTATTTACTTAAATGAACAGAGGGGTGGACTAATTCTGGATGCTCCTTGCTAGTCATCCCAGTTAGTTTCAGCAACTGCATGACAGGGCCCCTCTTTTTAGTCATATAACTGGTAGCAAATAGTGTCAAACAATACTTTTTGGTGCAAACATTAAACTGGTAGTCCTGTTGTTCCTCCCATCTTCCACCACTGAATCCAAATCAAATTAAAAAAAAACCTTACCTCACAACCACTACCAGCAGAACATCTCATAACCTCTATTCAAAGCCTGTTTCAAAGGTTTTGTTACATTTCTTTACATAAATTGCACCACTTCTAATATTTTTTATTATTTCATATCAGTTTTCTTAGAGCCTGTCAGCTTTTCAACTTGCTACTAACTGCAGCCCTCTGCCTGCTATGTTCTGTTAACTGCATTTACTGTGATTATCTACAGCTCTCTCTTTTTCCTACTTTCTCATAAAATTAAAAATTTCATTCAGTGTCTAAAACATTTTAGCTAAAGTTAAAAAAAAATTAAACTCCACAGATCTACTAAATGAGAATAGTTTTTGGGGTTTATGCAAAATTCTAAATCCAAACATGTCTTCAAATATTACAGTGCCAAAGCCTCCATTAAATCTTACTAAACAAGTGAGTCTAATCACACACCTTAAAGATCAACCAATTTATGCTACCTTGGGCCAAGGAGATGATGCTGAGGGCAGATTCCAGAATGAAAAGCTTCAGGCAAGCAACAGCTTTTTAAACTCACGTATGCATTTTATACTAATTTATTTCTAATGCAGGAATTCAGATCAGACAAACCTGTGACTGCTAGTTACTCACTACACACTACCCTAAAATAGCTCCAAACAAATGCCATCATTTACATTTTTCCTGGAGATATCAATCTTTTACTTTCCATCTATAGCAAAAAGATTTTTCTAACAGTTTGTTTCTATAGAAAACATCCTTTTCATATCATAATTACAGGCTCAGGGCCATTCAAGGTTCATTAAATGAAATTGTCACACTTTATTGTTTAACACACATTTTGAATAAGACTAAAAATCATAGCTTAAAAACATTACTCGAAGGATATTTCCCTAAGAAGTTTGTAAAAATTGTGCTAACTTTTGACATCTGGATGCTTGAAAGAATCCAGCTGAGCACAAAGGAAAGTCTGCTGTGATTCTAATTTCACCTTATAGAGGAAATACTGAAGCTCTTTAAGCAGATTTAGTGTGACTGAAAAGAGACAATCCCTCAGATTCCTGACTTTTTTCCCGGTGTTTTTAATAAAAGGGTTTTTTTGATACTTTACAAAAATCAAGGGTGCTGCAAGAAGCTGCAGCTGCAGTTCAGCAGATTGTTCTCTTACCTGTCTCCAGGATCCTGCTCTCAATGAGAATGAGAAATAGCAATACAGCCACATAAAAAAATGCAAATTCAAGCAGATTCAAGCAGTGATTTATATAATGGGATTAAAAGATAAATGCATTATTCTTGTAGGATATAAAGATGCTGCATGGTCCCAAGGTCAGGGGGGAAGCAGTTTTAACTCCTGTTTTGTGCTAAGCTGTTTCAGAACCAGAGTCCTCTGGTGGCTAAATGCAACAGGCTCCAGATCCAATTACTGCCCATTCCCAGTCCATTCCTGCCTCCTTGCAGAGAACAGAAATTCTCTGCTTGTTTTCCTGTTGACACCCACACACAAATCTGATACTGGGCAAGTAAAAAGCACCAAGGTGATTCATGTTACATGTGGCAGGAGGCAAGAAAGAAAGAACAGTAAAAGAAATTAGTTGCTCATCTGAAAAATGGGTAAGGAACTGCTGGTTAGCAACAACCACAAACTTTAGGAGGCAAAGTGTGCACCACAAGAAACAGAGTTGGGCACATACACCCTTCATCACCAGGCTGGCTGAGTACAGGAACCACGACTGTAATTGCTGAGAAACATGTCTGCATGTGTAAAGGCTGTATCACATTTATTACTGATCATGACAAAGCCATCTGCTGAGGATTCTAACTCTGTTCCATAAATAAAGTATTGATAAATAGGAAGTGTCTTGCTTCAGACAGCTGCAGGACTGTGTTCTCCTCAGGCATCAGAATGACTGCATCTCTCAGACAAGAGCACATGGTGATGCACAGGATATCCACTGAGTGGTATCTCCTGTTTTTATAATCTCAAACACCAACCCTTACTACTTTTCCTACTAATTCTTTGAATAAATAACTTGATAACTTTGAATAATAATTTGATTGCACCAACTGGAACCAAAGATGGAGAAAACAAATCCTGCATATGAAGGTAAACATAACCTGATAGGTCTCCCTAATAAACAGAAAGTAAATGACATAGGAGGCTCAATCCTCTTAAGCAAAGATCCAAACCAGCCAAGTTTTTGGCTGTTATTACAAGTAACAAATGTTAACAGTAAGAAACCATCCACCAGTGTGAGTTCTTATATTTACCAGTATCTACACACACCTACAGGAGGATTTCTATTCACAGAAATTATATACTCTTTTTATCACATACTAAAGATGGATCTCTAAAATTCATTATGTGCTTTGAAAGCTTCTAATCTACTAAAGCATTCAGCTACTACCAAGCTATAAACTGATTTATTGTTTCTTCTTAAAAACAAATATTATGTTCATAACAACAGATTATAGCTAATTTATCTTTAAGGTAGAGACCATTATGAGAATGAACCTTTTCTTTGCCTTAAAAAGGAGATATTTAGTTCTTGGCCTACAAGTTTACAGAGTAACTTACCCTAAATATTTCTAGAGAAGAGTTCCTGCATTTACTTGTCAACATAATTTCACAATTGCAAAACATAGATTTACATGTTCAGCTGCTGATAATTATGCTTGGAGAAAATAATAGTTACCAGCACTGATTTCTTTCTTGTGGTTTTGAACTGTTCCTTTCATTGATATTTTCTGTTGATTTCCTGTAATTAGCTCCCCCTTCTTCAGCAAATTTACATGCTGAATATAAGTAGATTGTATTAACTCAATCTTCTAATAGTTTTTACTTGAAATACAGTAGGAAGTTCATTGCAGTGGCACCAGAGCTCTAAATGATGACCAATTTTCATTCGGATCCCTCCCTCTTTTTATTTTTCCCCATTTCCCACTGTTAGACAACAACAAGGCCCTCTCCTTCAGTCACCCTGACTCTATACCTGTGCTGTGCTTGGCAGGGCAGGGCACTGGAACCTTTGGGCTATCATAACCACAGGAGATGCTCTGCTTTCATAAAACTCTTCCCAGGAATAAGGAACTGTTTCCTGGAATAAAAGAGCAGCTTGTAAACATTCCTATTCAACTCAAGTTTGAGCAAAATCTGTTCTCAGTTCATGCAGCTTTTCTGTATTTTTCACTTGAGATTTTTCAGTGTTAAGTTGCTATCTTCTAGGAAAATATGCTATTGCTCAGATCCACACAAGTACCAGTTATCTCATTTCCCCAGAGCAGTAAATAATTATATGAGGACCATTGGTTACCTGGAGAAAGATGGAAACTATCCCAGCTTCCAAGTCTGCTCCAGGCAGGCCAGCTTGAGGAAAAGGCAAATAACAGATACAGAGCAGGGGTACAACATTAGCCAAATCAATTAAAAATTGAAAAAATACTGAGGAACAAGGCATCAGGAAAGCCTTCCATTTAACCAGAAGAAGATCTAACACACAGCGTGGGGCAGGTTGTAGCAGGGTGCTCACCAGTCTCTCACAGGGCAGGGAGAGAAATGGGCACCCGCTGAGGCGGCCGCCATGAGGGGCCCCTCAGAAAGACCCTCACCCCTGCCAGGCCCATGGTGCCTTAGGTTTATCTAAAGGGTATTTTAGGTTTGTCTAAAGGGTACTTTAGGTGTGCCTAAAGCTGACACAGGTAGAAGCTTTCTAAATTAAACTCAACAGACTGTGTCTACAATACAAAGATATAAAATTTTGGGTAGTTTTTTACTGAGGTGGCCGCCATGAAGGGCCCCCCAGGATGGACCCCTCACCACTGCTGGGCCCACAGTCCTTTAGGTTTGTCTGAAGCTGACATAGGTAGGAATTTCTAAATTAGACTAAACAGACTGTGTCTACAATACAAATATATAAAATTTTGGCTAGTTTTTAGTATATTTTTAGCTCCATAAAATTGTCACATTTTAACTAATAGAAAGTACATCTAAAGCTTCCATATAAAAAAAATTAGTAATTTGGAACTTTTATTGAAAAACAGTATGACATATAAATCTAAAAGCTACAAAGAAGAGGAAAGAATAGACTTGCATTACCACATTAGCATAGAAAATAATTTACAGCTCCCATGCAATGCTAACTGCTCGGTACCCCACTGCCCGAGCACAGTTTGTGCGAGCTGTACTCAGGGCATGCCAGGCACAGCTCCGGGGGAGCCTCACCAGTTAAAGCCAGCCCGGACCGCCGCAAATTAAATACGGAGCGCCAGACCCGGGCCCGGCCCGAGGCTCCTCCCCCAGCGCGGGCCCCGCCGGTGACGTCACGCGCCGCCGTTCTAGACCGTTCCAGCCCCGTGACGTCACGCGCGGCGTCATTCCAGAAGATTCGGCCGGGGCTCCTATAAAGGCTGCGGAAGAGGCGGAGCTGCCGGGATCGGCGAGCGGGTGGTGGCAGTGGCGGCGTTTTGTGCAGCGGAGTAACCGCAGCGGTGAGCGCGGGCCCTCGGCGGGGCGCTGGGCGGGATAAGCCGAGGGTAACTCCAGGGTAACGTGCCGCGTCCTCCCACAGGCACCCACCATGGTGAAGGAGACGGAGTACTACGACATCCTGCAGGTGAAGCCCAATGCCTCCTCCGAGGAGATCAAGCGCGCCTACCGCAAGCTGGCGCTGAAGTACCATCCCGATAAGAACCCCAGTGAGGGCGAGCGGGTACGTGGGGTCGGGGCCGGGGCTGGGCCGAGGCCTGCGGGCCACCCACCTACCCACCGTGAGGCAGCCGGGCTCCAGGCGACACTTACGGCCCTTGTGCGGGGTAGGCCCCGTCCGGCTCTCCGGCGGGCCGGGGCCGAGCCGGGCTCACCGCAGGCCCCGTCCGGCTCTCCGGCGGGCCGGGGCCGAGCCGGGCTCACCGCAGGCCCCGTCCGGCTCTCCGGCAGGCCGGGGCTGAGCCGGGCTCATCACTGGCGCCGCCAGGCCGCGCCATGGGCGGCCTTGCCGGGAGAACCGGAGGCTGGCGCAGGGCCGCCCGCGGGAGCACCGCGGGTCCCCCACAGCCAGGCCGTTGTTATAGCTAGTGTGCACTAAGTCCCAGCTCAAATTCTGCTTTGCCCTTTCTGGAGCGTATTGCCGGTGCGTGAAGGTTCCCCTACTTCCATATCTCTGTTTAGACATGTGAGGTTGGCAGCAGGCCTGTGGCAAAGGGGATGCAGCATTTCTTTTTTTTTTTTTTTGATGTGGCGCATACTAGTTTCCCTGTAGTTACGGTGGATGATCGTCCTTAGAGGAGCTGGTTAAAAGGCAAAGCTGGAAGGATTTCTAGTGTGCCAGTGGCCACTGTGCTGTCAGACATTTAAAAGGCTGGTAGTGGATCCAGCTGCCAGCGTTGTTGTGCTGGATGGGTTTTCTTCAGAGAAAAATGCTAATGCAGATGTCCAAGGTAACTATACCCGGGAAATCACTGGGCTGTACGTGGGTGGGCTGCTTACAAGGGAACTATTTTACATGCTATCAACACGGACCCGCACAGCTCCCTGTGTTGACTTGGATGATAAACGAGCACCACAGTTGGAGAACTAGGGAAAACATGAACGATGGGATTGTTTATCTAAAAGCTGGCTTACTAATACATTAATATAGGAATAGAAGGTCTGTATTTACCTTATGTTAATCTCTAGAATACTAATTTATAGAACTCAAACAGTAGCATAGTTAAGGGAACCTTTCCTGCTTTTATTTTGGGCCTGCTTTTTTTGCTTACACCACTTTACATGGCCATGAGTAAATGAAATCTTAAAATTGAAGTGGTTATTCCAGTAATAGCAAATTGTTTTTAAAAATTCAGTTGGTGATCTCAGTAATAGGAAATTCTTCATAGCTATTTAAGAAAAATCCTTAATTGTTTTGATTTGTATCTAAGTCCTTGTGTTTGTGATGAGTAAGCAACACCCGTGTCTGGTCACATAAATCTCTGCTGTAGCTGGATGTACCAGCTCAGCAGGCATGGAGAATCCCTGTGTAGCTCTAGGCTGACTGGCACTGCTGTTGCCATGAGCAGTTGGGCACGTGCAGGACTTCAGGGATAGCACCATGTTCCTTTCTAAATGGATTTTTTAGAGGTTATAATGGTTGTTGCAACTACCACAATCAGCAAAATGCAGTTGGTGTATACTTGTAAGGTGGATGTGACTGAATTAAGCCCACTTGAAACATGGGAGGAGGGGGGAGAGGGAGGAAAGGGGTGGTTTTCCTGGACAAAAGTGTGCTATTATGGCCTGTGACCCAGGGAGTTTCCTTTTGGAAACAAATGCTGCAAGAGGGTATTGTAGTGGCTCGATCTGTAGAGGGAGTTGTATATGAGAGGGCTACTTTTCCTTTTGGTCATAGTTGTTCAGAGCTTCTTTTTTCTTTTTAGTTTAAACTTATATCCCAGGCATATGAAGTTCTGTCGGACCCAAAGAAAAGGGACCTCTATGACCAGGGTGGGGAGCAGGCTATTAAAGAAGGAGGCCTGAGTGGCGGCAGCTTCTCTTCACCCATGGACATCTTTGACATGTTCTTTGGTGGTGGAGGCCGAATGAATAGAGAGAGAAGAGGTACACAGTTCTAAACAAGTTCTAGAAACTCTAACCATGCACTTAAGCATAAAACACCTGTGCTATGGTACTGCTGTTCTGCTGAGTGCACATAGTGTGGATATTACTTGTTGCAACAATAGAATAAGTAAACTATGATTTTTCTAGTTACTCTAGCATTAAGAGTCTAATAAAGTAGATAACGTGGCTTAGCCATAGCCATCTTTCTGCTAAGTTCTATTTATTTTTTGTTGAAGGGGGAATGGGTAGTCTGTAGGGGAGGGGGAAACATCAGTAAGTCAGCAAGTTTAGACCTGTTTAAGTTCCTTTTTTCCAAATCTGTGCCTCACTTGCTCATATGTTTTTGGGCAATTTGCTTCAAAGGACACCATCAACTTAAACTTCAGTAATTTTAAATCCCATTAAAATATTTGGGAGAAATTACATGAAACTGAGTACAGTGTGCTACCAGAAGCATGATACGATTTTTGTCCTTTCCAAGCCCAATGCCTGTTAAAGTAGCAAGTAGTAACTTGCAGTAAAATCACTGAAATGATGCTATGAAGTGGCATGGAAATTCATAGGCAGGCATAAATAGCAACTTCTAAATTGACAGATCTGAAGCTGGTAGTGTCCTTGCATCTTGCTGTTTCAGTTAAGCTTATAAAATTAGGAGTAGGGATAGGGTGGCTTTGATGATGCTTTGCTTTAATTACAGCTCAACCTTTATGTTTGGAAATAAATGGGTGGAGCTTAGCCGAAGCTGATGGAATTGCACATGCTTTTAAGGGGGCTGAGTTGTGTTCAAAGTTTGGAATGAACTCTGCATTTCTTCAGTAAGACTGTGCATGAACATTTATCTTCACAAAAGCTGAACAAGTATTAATATTTTCCTTTTTTTCTCTGAAGGCAAAAATGTGGTGCACCAGTTAGGTGTATCTCTTGAAGACCTCTATAATGGCATTACAAGGAAACTGGCACTGCAAAAGAATGTTATTTGTGCAAAGTGTGAAGGTAAAAAAAACACAAGTAGTGGTTTCAAATCCCTCTTCAAGCTGTTTGTATGGCTTGTCTGAGGCTGAGAAGAAAGTCTGAAGGTTTTCTTACTTTCCTGTGTCTTCATTCTTTGCCTCATCCCTGAAAGTCTGCCAGGGTATTTAATTCTTACATTTATCCAAAAGTAAGTCTCTCGACAGTGTTACAAAGTGATTGTTCTAATGGCAAACTAAAACTCGCTGTGAGTTGCAGTTAGGGGTACCCAAATTAAAATTATCTTCACCCAGAACTTGGATGTAAAGGTTTATTCTGTAAAACTTCTTTAATTGCTGTGGGTGGAAGCCTAGCTTGTGTTATGCTACTAATTCTACAGTTACTAAGTACTCCCTAGACTGGTTCTCTTTGAGGTAGATTTTAATAAGGTCTTACATCTTAGTACTCTGTTAAATATTTCATAAGCAGATTCTTTTGCAAGTATTAATGGAATGTTTATGTCTTGAATTTGGTATGCTGACAGTTCCTTGGAAACCAGGAGTTACTGGGGGGTGGGGCAGAGGCTAATACAATAAGCTGTATAAACATTTTGTTTGTAGAAGCCTCCAGCTTGTGGGCTATGTTTTGTGATGGCAGCTAAATTCCATTACTGAACTACTCTTAAGTTACCCTAACCAAGCTCTTGAAGTCAGTGAGTTCCAGCCTGACTACTGTAATTTTTTGAGACTGAGATGGAATTTAATTCTTTTGTCAAAGGTTATGGCGGAAAGAGAGGGGCAGTAGAAAAATGCCCTGTGTGTAAAGGAAGAGGGATGCAAGTTATAGTTCAGCAGATTGGACCTGGCATGGTGCAGCAAATCCAAACTGTGTGCCCAGAATGCAAAGGCCAAGGTGAAAGAATAAATCCAAAAGACAGATGTGACAACTGCAATGGCTGTAAGGTTGTAAGAGAGAAAAAGATCATAGAAGTTCATGTTGATAAAGGTAAGAACTGTGTATTTGTATTGGTTCTCAAATAATAGTCAATAATCGTCTATAGTTCTGCAGAGAATAAATGGGTTTCTTTTTCCAGGTATGAAAGATGGTCAGAAGATAGTATTTCATGGAGAAGGTGACCAGGAGCCTGATTTGGAGCCTGGTGATGTTATAATTGTGCTTGACCAAAAGGATCACAGTGTCTTTCAGAGACGAGGGCATGACTTAATCACAAAAATGAGAATTCAACTCTCAGAGGCTTTATGTGGTTTCAGAAAGACAATTGAAACTCTGGACAACCGAGTTCTTGTCATATCTACTAGGCCAGGTGGGTTGTTAAGAGTACTAATACTATGCAAACTGATTGGCTTAATTATACCTGGACTGGAGTTTTGGGGGAGATTGTTCTGTTTGGGTTGGGTTTTTTCCTCACCAGATGATGCAACAGCTTCATGAGGCAGTCACTTAACCTAGCTGGTTCTTTGTTGTTGTTACTCTTTCTAAAACATGCAGAGTTAGACCTAAAGCTGTCAAATACCTCTTAATAAACCTCAGCCCCAGCTGGTGGATAGCCAGAAAGATATTTAAGAGGAAAGAATCTTAATTCTACTAAAGTGTCTGTTCATTCAGCCTGAAGGCTGTGCCAAGAAAAACTGGTTTCTCTTATAGCAGGGGAAATAGTCTAAATGGCCTTAGTTGTGTACAGCTTGGGTTTAGGTATTTGCTGTGAGCTGATTGCAATCTCCCTGAGTGCCATGAGAACCCAATGTCCAGCCCTGCCTCGTGTGGCTGTGAAATGCCCATCCCATCACAGCAGCCCACTTACAGCTCTTGCCTCCATAGGTGAAGTGATAAAACATGGGGACCTAAAATGTATCTACAATGAAGGGATGCCTGTCTACAAATCTCCAATGGACAAAGGCAGCCTGATCATACAGTTTTTGGTAAGCTGCATGCTTTTCTGTAGCCAATATACTCATGTTTACACATGAATAAATACTCATTTTAAAAAATATGTGAAATTGTAGGTCCAGTTTCCAGAGCACTACTGGCTCCCAAGGGAGAAACTGTCACTGCTGGAGGCTCTGCTTCCTTCCCGAGAAGATGTTATGGTTACAGATGAGATGGATCAGGTAGACCTTGAAGATTTTGATCCAAATGAGCAAACCTACCGTAACAGTGCAGGAGAAGCATATGAAGAAGATGAGGAGGGTCCAAGAACAGGAGTACAATGTCAGGCATCTTAAAGCAAGGTGGAGCGGATGTCATCTAAGATGTAAATTTTCACAATGAAAACTGCATGGCTGTAATAGCCACTGCTTGTGGTTTTTGTGTTCAGCAAATTGAGTTGCTGCGCTGTCAGTATCACCTTTTTGTAACTAATTTATATTGTGTTCTTGTAGTCTTTCTATATAAAGCAAATGTCATACAGCTGAGAACCAAGTTGGTATGAATTTTCCTTGCTGTGAAGGTTCTCAATTTATTCACCTGTGCTATTTCTATAAGACTTTGGCAATATCAATAGAGGCTAAGTGGAGTGTCTTATGTAAATACTTTCATACTGGAAAATTAATTTCATAGAATAAAGCATAGCAGAATAACTTCTAATAAATAGTACTTCACCTTTTTTCGTGCTTCTCTTGTACTTTCTAAGCCATTCTGGAACCCCCTTTATTTAAACAAGTTCTTCTAAGCTCAGACTCCTGTCATCTAGTCTAGATTATTTGTGTTAGCTGCACCACTCAGCTGTCTCATTTTGTATTTCAGAAGCATTTTGTGCATGCCCTCCTCTCTGCCTCTCAGCCCTCTTCCTGTGTTTTGTGGGTTTACAGTAGCATTCCTTCAGCTGCTTCTCTGTGTGTGACCCAAGGTTACAAGCTGTCCTCTAATGTGTTACATACAAGTAAATACTTGCAAATAAAAGTTTGACCTTTCAGAAGCTCAAGCTTTGTATTTCAGCCTTCCTAGAAAGGGTTTTTACTTCCTCCTAGGCATTGTATACTTGTGCCTTAACTAAAATGAATAAACCAAAACCACTTGCACTGGGTATACTGCTGCTGTTTTGTAACATACATGCTCCCACAGTACAGCGACCCCATTAAAGCTTTTTTCCATTTTACCTATTTGCTGGTAGTGTTTGTATTAAGTCAGGGTTAGAAACAAATGGTTCCCTTTAGTGAAACGAAACCCATGATGAATGATCTGTGTCCGTGTACCACACAATTGTTGAAACAGGTGTTCAGCTCAAGTGATCCTCTTGCACTCACTAGCAGCAGGACAAGCTGGGCTGTCATTTCCCATATCTATAACACAGCCTCAGTCATTTTCCTTCTGCTAAAATAAGCTGCTGTAACGCTTAGGCCATGCTTTCCAGCTCTGGTCTATTTATGTTTAAAGGCAGGGGTGATTAACTGAGCAGTACTTCACCCATGACTACCTATTTCCAAAAATACTTTTTCCCCAAGAATTAGACACAAGGACTTGGAGCTGTAGCTTTTATTTTAAAAAAGTAAGACTTTCTCTTGTGCTAAGCAAAATCAAAATTAGATCTGGTTTTGCAGATCAGTATGAATGCTTTTATCATAGTAAAAAATGACACAGAACAGTAGCAGTCCCTTGAAACTGCTACAAGAGATTTACTGAAGCATCTGAGTCAAGACATTTACACTGGACAGTCATAAATATGAATTTCTTGGTCATCACCAACAGACACAATTTTGGACCCACTTCCGTTGTATTTCACTCCCCAAACCTGTAAATAAGACATATGCAAATTTATCCAGAGAGCACAAAGATAAAGAATCTTTGCAGCAGTAATATTTATTACAAGCAGTAGAGGAAAGATTATTGAAAAGTCACCTTATTCGATCTGGTGTAGTTGTAGCTTCTGCTTCACCAGCAGCTGAGGCCGCCGAAGCAGAGCAGGACACTGCCCTCTAGGAGCCTGCCGAGCTCCTGCACCCACTGACTGTGCCTTACCCAGCCACAGATCCTCGGGCAGGGCTGAAAGGTGCTCGCCCCAGTTTGCATAAATAACCAGCATCCTCACTCCTGCCCATCCTGCAGCCCTTGCTGAAAAGAGTACTTTACAGTGCAGGAAAGGAAGAGAGGAAGTATTTGTCATGCAGACTGAGACCATGACAGACTGAAGAACAGAACCAGGTTTATCCTTGAGCTGTTTCAGAGAACCATTTACCTACCAGTACAAAACTTAGAAAAATTCAGGTCACTCTGATCTAAGACAGTTACACAAGCTCTGACCTGACACCCATCTCCATCAGAATGACATCAGGAAGAGTGAAGGCTCCCCAGCACGTTCATGTGAAATGCAGAATGGGTGTGTTGACAACTGCATGGTTTGGGTAATCTTGGACACTATTTTGCATTAGTACCCAAACCCAGCATTCCCAGTAACTAACACATCTCTGTCTGCCACAGACTGAATGAGATCATACACAACAGCTAAACAACAGGGGAGAGAAACCCCCACAACTATAGGTAACTGAAAAGAAGGTTACCAGCAAGAAAGTACTACAGAAGAAAACATTCAAATAAAATCTGAAAGAATATCCTTTGTTTCTTGTTCAGTGGTCCATTAAAATAAAACACTGTTCTGTTTATCACCTAACATTTGGCCAAAGAGTAAATGGGTAGAAACCTAACTCCTCTCACAGGTTGCTATCACTGAACAATAAAGTAAAACCCCCCAGTATTACAGACACTGAAGGAGGAAAAACTCCCAGGTTTCCAGGCTGCTTTCAAGCATCTGTTTAAGTAATTCCATCCTTTTAAATAAGTATTTCCACCCTTACACATGCTGTGTTAGTCACAGAAATAAGTAAAACCAGAGACAAAGGTAACAGAGTCTGGTGAGACTTAGGCCCCTCAGGATTACCTTTTTTGGGCCTGAAAAATGTTAATGACTTGGAAGAGAACAGCATATACACCTGGGAGTACTAGTTCAATATTAAGTGCTAAATAATCACAACTTTTAAAATTTCACTATAGCAGGCTAAAGCTGCATTATTGCAAGCCTGGAGCTGCAGCACCAAGGTGAAGCACAAATGTGCTCAACTACACAAGCTCTCCTGGGAACGTGGTGACTCAGGGAATAGCAGCCATACCTGATCTTGGTGGTCAAAAAAAGTATGGACACAGGTCCTCGTTCCAGCATCCCAAACCTTCACACTTTTATCAGATGAACTGAAAGAAAAATAACACTGATTAATGTTTAAATTAATGTATTAGCTAAAGTTTAATGCAAACATTAAAGTTCTCATATGGTAGACATAAGAAACCCTCTTTCACCCATCAAATACAGGGATGAAGTAGCAAATGACTGCATCTTCTGCTAGGTTCCACTACCTTTAAAATAAATTTACTGTTCCAACATCTGCAATGTGAAAACGAAGACTCCCATTTTGGCCAAAAAATTGTTTGAGGCAAGTTCTTTGGATAAGGAAATTCCTATTACATATACTTGGTCCCCCAGCTGCCTCAGCTGTTTTAAGAATTAATACTAAAATTCAAGTAGATTAATGTACTACTACTTTAGGTTGTAATTCTTGATTCAAGAGCAATTTTTCAGCTATTTAGAATCAAGCTGCTGTTCTCTTAGGTGTTTTTCACTTGTCAGGAACTACACTGCAATGGGAAGACTTACTCTGTAAAATGCTCTCACTACAGCTGGTATCACATCACAGATTGGCTCGAGCCTTTAAATTTTATGTTATTTCATTACAGATCCCACTGCAATTTGTACACTTTTTTTTTCCAGTAATCAAAAACAATTAAAAATCCTCAGTACCTGGAAACAAAATGGGTATCATCGGGACAAAATGCTACATTTAAAACCCAGGATCCGTGACCACTTAATGTGCCAGCCAAGTTTGCATGTTGCCTGTGGAAAGAACACGTTAGCATTTGCTTTGTGAATTCCAGGGAAAAAGCAACAGGAATATGCCCTAGCTAGTGCAATCAAGAATGGTTCAATGGAAGGTGACTTCTGGACATCTGTTCACCCAAGCTGAACTGGTGCTACAGCAGATTCTGTTTTTCCATTTCAAATAGTTAACATAAAAAGAAGTCGCTAAGAAGATGGACTGGAGGAGAAAGAGTTTCACCAGAGCCAAAGCAATTCAGGTTTAGAAGGTGAAGACCACTGAAGCAGGGCCATTTCCTCCCCAGGGTCTTCCAAGGTATTGCAAGATGCAACAGAAATAGGTCATAAATATAATTTCCTGTGTACAGAACAGATGTTTAGGAGAGGTGAACACAAGCTCACAGGATAGATACACAGAAGAATAAGCTTACTGCCTCCAGGCAAATACGAGGAAAGTAATTTGTTTTCAATTTACAGCTTTCTTCTACCTCTGCACTTTCAAAAACTATCTAAGGATGTAGTATTTCACGATTTAAGATTATTTATCACATAAAAAGTCACCAAAAGCCGAAAGGAATTCTGGAGAGTGGAGGGTTAGCTCTATGCTTCACAGTATCAGCCACTCACACATCGTAGATTTTGATGTATCCATCATCGGAGGCGGTGACGAGCAGCTGGGAGTCAGGGGAGAAGGTCAGCGAGCGGATGGGCATGGCATGGCCTGCAGGGACAGGGACACAGGGCAGGGCTGGCACTGCTCCCACTGACACAGCGCCCAGCCAGCTGCAACAGCTCTGCCTGCTCACACACAGCAGCCTCTGAAGCCTCCTTCTCTCCAGAGGCTTCTTCACACCAGGGAAAATGAAACAGCAATTCTCAACTGTGAATGTTAAGGCATGTCTGCAACACAAAGGCTAACTAGTTTCTTTCAGCTGTGCATCTCTGTTAGAAATCATGTCATATTTTATAGTATGATTTAAGTGATTGGGGTTTTGGTTACAACTGGGCAGAAACTGCATGAACATTAAAAGCCTATTTATCTGTTAGAAAAAAAAATGCATGTGTTCTACAACATAAAATGTTCAGTTACTTTTTAGACTAGCAAAAAATTGCTTTAGAACAAATAACGCAAGAAAAAGAAAAATCATGTGCAAGGCAGCACACATTTGGCTTGGCTTCATTCCCTTGTACTTTTCTGCAATACAAGGAGCTCCAATTTAAGAATTTAGTTAAGCATTACTGACTGTATCTTTTAAAAAAGGCATTTATGATGCATGCCGGAGTTTACAGTTTGCCTCTAATATTTTAAGTGGTTTAGGTTAAAGCACACCAAATAACTAAATACTGTCTAATGGACAAATATATCAACTCACTTTTGCTATGGTTGTTGTAGCTTATTCTGACTTGCATTATATCCTTTAATTTTGTCAGAAATGACAAATATCCTTCAATTTTGTCACAATTAGGTACTGCAAATAACCAAACCATACCTTCTAGCGTATGCAGAAGCTTTCCAGTTGCAATATCAAAAATATTGATAATGCCATCTATTGCTCCACTGGCCAAGTATTTTCCATCTGGACTCTGTAATAAAACACAAAAAGTGTGATTCAACATCTGTGTGTATTTATGCTGTGTAAGCCCTGACATCCCCTTGGCAACTTTTCACAAACAGTAATCTATGCAAGATACCTGGGCTCCAAAAATCCTGAAGGCTACAAACAAGATCCAAATATATTTTCCAGATGTGCAGGGGGAAATGTCAAACAATTTGTATTTGGAACTATGGCTGTCACCTAATATTATTGCAGAGATAAACTGATAGATGGAAACAAAAATACCGATTTACAACATATTACAGCAATAGCAATTTCTCATAAGGAATTATGTGCTTCTTACATATGCAATGCTAAGGATGAACTTCCCTCTGGTGTCTAGAGAATATTCTTTCTTTCCAGTTTCAACACCGAAAATATTTACTTTCCCCACGTGACTTCCTGTTGCAAGGTACTGGGAATCAGGTGAAAAAGCCAGGGACCAAGCATCAACTGTATTAAAAAATAAAAACCAGTTAGCTGGATCCTGTTCCTGTGTCAGTCCTCTATGCATCTGCTTAGGTGTGTAACCCCCAAGAATGTACAAGCTCATCAAGTCACCCCT